AAAAATGGCACTGGCAAAACTGAGTTTACAAAAAGCATAGAGCACGAGGTGCGTTCTCTTTTAAAATCTTTTGAACCCCCCACTCTCTCTCGCCCCCCCCCCCCCCCCCCCCCCACACACACACACACTCTGGCCCCCGGTCTTCCCAGCGTCGGCGATCTGGCCTCCATGCTCAAATGAGTTTGAGACCACTGCCCTAGAAGATTAGCCCGTCGTTCAAAATTCAGACAAAAGTTGCTTTCCCCACCCCGTTCACCCCGAAGCTGACAGTGCTGGGGAAGCTACGTGCTCCTTGGGCCAGCCATACTTTTGCCACGTGATGACGCTCTCTCGCGCATACCCACGCGCAGAGAATGAGGTCAGGTGATGAAAGGGAGGCGGTTGATTGGCCCGGCAAGCGCGTAGCTTCCACCGCAATGTCAGCTTAGGGGTAAAGGGATTTGGACCCAACGACGCGCTTTTGGGACCGCGGATGTATCACAGTGAAAACGCAGAGAGCTTACGAAAGGAAGGAGGTACAGAATAGTCCGCTGAGTTTTCAAATTTTTGTACCGAAAGTCAGGCTTTTGACTTTACACCTTTTCTCTTTCGGCCCAGTGAACCCCCGATGTGCTATTAGTAAAATCCCAATCGAAATTGATTTATCCTATCCCGAAATTCGTTTCATGGGCCCTTTAAAGCATTTCTGTGAAAAGAACAAGCCGATTCATATTTGGCGAGTACAATTTCGCTAACGGATCAAAACCTCTGTACTTACTTTTTACCATACAAAAAACACATAAAAGTAACTTCAAAACTAATTCGCTACTTTTTTACGGTAATTAGTAATTTTCTCTATAACCTTCTATTTAAATAACTTCTACTCTACTCAGATTACTTTTGACGTTAATACTCAGTAACTTAACTTAATTACTTTTTTTGAGTAGCTTGTGCATGTCTGGTGCAAACACGGGCTTGTTTGTAGATGGCGCGTTGGCCTATACCCATACCACCTATAGAAGACAAGTCCTGTGCTTTGGCCGTCTAAACGTCATCACTAGTGGAACCAGGCAGCGCCGCCAACGCGTCTCGCAGCAAGACGAATGCCGCTTTGCTCAAGTTTCAACGTCTTAGGGCGGGTTCCACTAAGGATGACGTCATGCACAGGCCTTGTCTTCTAGGTTCCCAGCAGGCTCATTCCGTCGCGCACACTCGCAGGAGCAAATGCATACTACGCGCTCAGACACAGAATGGCGCGTCTATCCCCCGACGACGCAAACGTCACGATTATAGCAGACGCCGGGAGACGGCGGGATCCGGCAGACGACACGGCAGCCAGAGCGGCCAGCAATTCACGCATGCGCATCACGTTTCCGCCCAAGATGAAATACGAGCGCCTCATTAGGCTTAATTATCTTTCCTCTTTTCGTTCCCCCTCGCCCTCTTTTCGGTGTCTCCCCTCCAACGAACGCGTCTGCTCTCGCAGGCCCCCTCGACTTGACTTGCAGGTGGGCAAACGAAAAAGAATACAACGTTGTTGCCAGAAGTTCGCCGAAGCTACGACCTGCCGCAACGACAAACCGCACTGGCGGTGTTTGGAGGCTTGCCATTGGGACTCGCCAACTTTGATCCAGGTTCGCGACAGCGTCGGCGAACATTCGGCCTTTACGCAAATAGACCTATCGCTATATTACCCAAGCATCGAGGAGAGTGCAGGGATTGGTGTTCCACACGCTGCACGTGCTGGCCTCAGCAGTAGTAACGTTTCTAAAGCAAATACCTAAAACGAATGGCATCTTGCACGCGCGTTCGTCAACGCTTCATTTTGGTTCTTTACTTCGAATAGTTTATACGGGGAAGGCGTGCGCGTGTGGCGCATGAAAGGCCATTCCCTACATTCTCTTTGATGCTTGGGTAATATTGCAATACGTCTATTCGACCAAGTTCCACTTACAAACTATGTTGCCCGACCTATGCGCTAAAATTTCAAATTTGAGGAAATAAATCAGTGACGAAGTAGTTTCTTTTATATTTTGTAAAACGATTACCGGTGTTTACCCACGCCGAAATCAAACGTACGCATTTTGAATACCTTCGTAAGTTTATCAATGTGAAACAACGAAGCGATATATTGGCGACTCCAAAGAATCCGACGGCTCGTGGCTGCTAGGACAGAGAGCTGTGGCAGCAAGGTTCGCTCGTATACCTGCAGCCCTCTCGACCGATTCAGATATCCACAGCGCCCATGGAGGCAGGAAGCTTCTGGAGGCGACATGACGTCAGCAGAGGGAGAGCAGGGGAGACTTCCGGTTTGGAGGGACACGCCCCCAACGATGTCCAAAACCAAAAGACACTACTGGACGGACTTAGACACCCTTGTACGCTATTGGACAGACTTGGCGCCCTTGGGAGTGTTTCCACGAACCACGACCTCTACTTCCGCCTTCACTTGGGATTTTCTCGTTGGCTGGTTTAGGTCGGTATGTGGGCTCCTCTTTTGCCTACCTCCAAAGGCCGCATTCGCGAAGGCTAGAGCACTCGTTTACCTTGTAACGGCTTACCGAGGTGTACAAGTTTTCCCATGTAAGGGCTGCTACACACACATAAAACTACTCACAACTGTGTGCCTTTGAACCTCTTGCGACTAGAGAACACACCGGCGCCGTAGAACACATGCAGTTTTAGATCCTATTTTTTCGCGGATTATTCTCTAGTTTTTAGCTAGAAAATATTTTAACAGTGATCTTGCAAATATAGAAAAAAACCTTGGCTCTAGTGAAATGCAGTAGAGTCACTTATAGGCGGCGCCAGTTTGCTAACTCGTCATGAGAGATACCAAAAACTCGGTCCTAAGCACACGGAAGTGTGTGAACGGGCCCGAACGCTCTGAGAGTAACGCCTTGAGTAGATTTTGGAGTTGGTGTCTCGAGATGGTCAAGTCATCCCTGCGTGTGATCCAGAGCTTTGCCGATTTTCAAGCTCGGTCGACTGAATCTATATTCAATACTTTGGGCTAGAACGGCTGACAGGAAATTGTCTTAAAAGTAGATAAAGTCGACTTCAACCTGTGGCCACCGGTTCAAAACACGCAGGACGGGAAGCAAATTGCCCGCAGACGACTTCAAAGCCGCTCAAGAAGTTGAATCGTAGAATCAGATAATGTTGAAGGGAAGAATCAGGTACTGTTCGAGTAAAGAGTCAGGTACTCTCCAAAGGAAAATCGGGTAATGTTGAATTACAGAATCAGGTAATGTTGAATGGCACAATCAGGCAATGTTTGTTTACAAAGTCAGGTAACGTTAAAAAGTGTCACAAAAAAAATTTAGAGGATTTTTATTTCCGGAAAAATAAACTTGGCATCGCCGAACGCTCATTCTCCGCCCAAAGGTAGCGCTAGAGGTCACAATCAGATACCAAAGTTTCAGCCCCATCCGATAACTTAATCAAAAGTTATAGGGGATTTTCTAAAAATTTCAATGGGAAAATGGCGGCCGACGGAGTTTTCGAATACATGGGGCTCTAAGGGCACCAGAAACCGAAAACGGGCAAAACTGAGCTCCATTTTCCCATTGAAATTTTCAGAAAATTCCTTATAACTCCTGATTAAGTTATCGGATCGGGCTGAAACTTTGGCATCTGGTTGTTATCTCTCGAGCTACCTTCGGGCGGAGAACGAGCATTCGGCGATGCCTAGTTTATTTTTGCGGTAAAAAAAAAAAAACCTGTAAAATTTCTTTTGTGACACATTGCAGAATAAGGGTAATATTGAATGATAGAATCGTGTAATGTTTGTTTAAAAGAATCAGGTAAATCAATGTGAAAGTAAAAATTAACATTTAATGATCATTTTCAGTTTAGCCCTTGAAAGGCACCATAAACAACTAATTTTTAAGCTCAAACAATATGGCTTCCCTCGCGGTTTCGTTAATTGGATTGCCGCATACTTATTAACGCAGTCCGTTAGCGTTAAATGCATATCATGTCTCCAGTTCTTCTCGTTGCATCACGGGTGCTCAGGGAAGTGCTCCAATTTTAGTTTTAGTGTACATTGAAGATTTATCCCTTATTGGCCTATGTGTCACCATCTGCCTTTTTGAAGATGATTGCATTATATTTATAGATAGAACCATAATCTTGGATCAGTCATTATTGGTTCGTAGTTTGCAATCCGTTGTACCTTGGTGCGCGACGTTTGGAAAATGTAGCGGAATTCTATAACATAAACACGTTTACGTATTACGAAAAAAAAGAAAAAAAACCAATTCAGTACAATGAGATAATGTTTAAAAAAAGAATCAGGTAATGATGATAGCAGAATTAGGTAACGTGGAATGGTAGTCAGGTAATGTTTGTTTAGCAGAATCAGGTAATGTTTAAAAGCAAATCGGGCAATGTTGAAAAGTTGAGTCCGATAATATTTGTTTAGTAGGATCAAGATATGCTCCAAAGTAGAACCAGGCAATGATGAATGGCGGAATTAGGCAATGTTGAATGGTAAAATGAGGTACGTGAAATAGTTTAACGCAAATAATGTTTGTTTAGCCAAATTAAGTAATCCAGCAAGATTCCAGGAAATGTAAATAAACGGAAAAAAGCACGTTAGCTTCGGTGCCTGTCTCATTCCACCTCTAGCGTGTATCAAAATAAATTGTGCCGTTTTCGCGTTTTTCCTGTCCTTCGTTCTATGAGTAAATTCCAGAACGCGGAAGTGCCTCGCTCGACATGAATCCGACGGTCGTTAATCAGAACCACGACTGAAACGTGGGCGCTCGTACGACAGTCCCGGAGAGCGATCTGTTAGCGCTAGTTGGCGGTACCATCTAGAAGACAAGACCTGCGCGTGACGTCACGGTTAGAGGATCCCTGGACGCGCCACAGGCGGACGCTGGAACTCAACGATAGAGGCCGCAAAGTGGTAGACGTGTTCGTCTAGATCCACTTGTGGTGACGTTTTTGGGGGCGGCCTTGCCTTGTAGGTGGTATTGGTTAGGGTGCGAGCGGATAGAGGGCACAAAACTCACATTTGTCTTTGAAGTTTGACGACGCGTTCTGGATGAGCTGGTACAGCTGGGAGGACTCGCTCGACGCCGAGGACGATTTGCCTGCACAGAGAGAAAAAGAAAGGACGACAGTGATTAAAGGGGGATGCGTCGAACCCGGCCCTTCAGGCGCTCTGTGAACACACTACACTAATGGCGAAACGGCAAGCACCCCGAACATGCGCTTTCATAACCACACACACCGTCGCGTTGTACGCTCGCAAGCTAAGTCCTTCGTGTACGCAAAAAAAGACTGCCATTCAGCAATTGTTGCTCGCTGGATACACTCGTCTGCTGCCCTCTTGTAGATTTGTATCTCCTTAGAAATTAAGATATCTGTTCGAATGATTCCGTGGTTGGAATGAGCCCGCGACTGAAAAGCGTTCTCCCAGAACATCTATTTGTTCTTTCTTCCTAAATAAAAAGGGTGGGAAAGCCTTGTCCGCTTTCTTATATTTTTTTGTGTGTATTTTCGAACTCTTGCGCTTTGTATTACCGATAACGATGACCTACTTACTCATCTGTGTTCGCACTTCTTTTAATAAAGGTGGTAGGTAATTAAGGTAATTTCCTAAAACTATGCGTAATAAAATTTCACTGCAAATTACCTTTACGTATATGTTACATTCATATTGCAAAATTACTTGGAAATGTAAAAAAAAACGAGCAAATTTACAACTATTCGAAGAGCATATATCTGAACTTATTGCGTATAATAGTAATATGCCCCCGGCAAGTAAGAACCGTTCCTGTATATACCGTATTATTATATCATTACCAAACAAAATCTACTCGGTCGGTTCATATTTATACGCGGTGAATTACTTCCGCCGCTCGACTCTGCAGGGGTACGGGACGTAGCCGAGCGACATTATTTTGCCCCTTCCAACTCGAACCTCCGTTCGAGTTTACGACCGAGCCACCGGAGCCAACCCAAGGTCGTGTGACGTGACCTTGGACAAGGGGCGCAGTGACGTGCGGAGAGCCTACCGCGTTCACAAAGCTGGATTGGCTGAGATCGGTCGTTGCCGAATAAGACATCCCTCGAATATTTTAATTTGAACTGAGAGTTGGCTATCAGCTCGTATATACTTGCGACCGATGGCTTTCGCTGTCTGCTTTCTGCCCCCTCTTTCGCCCCATGGAGAACTAATTCGACGGAGTAAGTTGCTCCAATAAGGATTACAAAGTAACTCCACTTATGAAAATCCGGTGCCTCATCAGCGGCTAATGACCAGCCCAGCCCGCACGACCTCCATCATGTCTGAATGAGGAAAGAACAGAAGTGTTCAGGAATGCCGTTCACGCATGCAACGCGGCTCTACGCAGGCCGTATCTTCTCGTAAGTGGCCCTCATACATAGGTCGGATTTCTCGTGCGCTCGACGCCGGCGGCCACAGCCAATGCCAGCCAGAAGGCCCGCTCATGACGTCGTCGGTAGCAAATGCCCGCCCCGCCCCGAGCGGCGAACACGCGCCGAAGCTCCACCGAAGAGTCGCCGAAAAGCGTCAGGCGCGTCCGCCTTGGCGTCGCCTTGTGCCAGTGTCACGCACCTTGTAAGACGCTGCAGAGGCTGTAAGACACTGTAAGACGCTGCAAGGTGGCGATGCTAAAGCAAGCTAGGCGGCGCAGCGTGGCTCCACTAGGGATGATGACGTAGGAGGCGCAGGCCTTGTTGAGCATTGCACGTCCTACGGTGTAGCCTTGTTGCTGTATCACGGCAGTCAAACCCAGAAGCGCGACCCTTTGGATTAATGAAGAAAACGACGACTCAGAAAGTGATTGCGCGAAGCGGACACCGAAGAAAAAGAAAGAGTGCCTTCGTACACATTAACCTTTTTGCTCCAGTGTGACATCTCGGCATACCTGGGTAAATCACTACCAAAATTCAATTTAATTACAATTACTACTACGGAAAACGTAATTCATTCGCATTACAAATTACTTTTAAAAAGTAATGCTTAATTCTAAGAGCGACCCGACTTGAGCGATATAAGAGTTGTATAGAATGCAATGGATTTGTTCATTGCTTGTCCCAATGTTAGAGGGGGAATTAAGCATCGCTAAATAAATGTGATTTATTGTACTTTCCTTTTGCGAATTTTCTTAAATTCACGATAGAACTTGACAGTTTGGGGTAGTGAAGCAATACGTTCTTAGATTTTCAATAAATAATAATGAATTAGATCACATACTCGAAGATGTGAGATCGCTAAAGAATGAATGGGGTTGACAGACTTTTGTTAGCCAGGCAAATAGAAATGTGACAATTAGTCAGATATGAATGTTTTATTAGTGTTAATTTAAGACTATAATCCGCACGCAATAATACGACCACATTCAAATACAAAATTATTCATGTTGTAAATAGTGTTCTAAATTGTGAATTATTTACCTTGAGTTTACATTATAATGACTCAGAAATATATAAGAGTCGAATTGGGGCTCCCGAATCGTTGGTGACTATATTCACAGGCGCGAGGTCAGTCTCCAAGATGCTTACGGTAATACTATCCGGAGTAAAACCAACAGGAAATAAGCTTGAAAATGATACAAAGATACAAATATGCGACAGTACTGGAAGAGGAATGTAAAAAAATGGCAAAAAAGAAAAAAACAAAACAAAAAAACTTTATAGACAAATAAATATCTAACCTCGGCTGAAAGGTGAACCGTAATTTTTTTTTTTCGGTTTTTTGGCATGTTTACGCTATTGTTTTCTGCTAGCTCCGCAGACGGCGCTGCATGGCGCCGTTCAGGTAGCCCGCAGTGCAAGCGACAAGACAACAAACAATGCGACGTTATTTATGTTGTGCGTGTGTGTGAGTGCGTGTCTGTGTGCGAGTGTTCACCCCCGACAGCTAGGCCGCTTTGTGCGAGCGCTGAGGCTTTCAGAGAGGCTCCGTCGTTTGCAACTACCGACGCTAGAAAGTAATTAAAATACAATTGCAATTCCCTTTAGCCGAAAGTAATTAATGATAATTACAAATTACCAAAAAGTAATTAAATTACGGTAATTCGATTACCGTAATCGAACTGCTACCCAAATATGATTCTCGGCCATTTTGCCCATCAATACATTTTCTGTGTCATTTGAAGTGCGCGCAGTCCGGTGGGACTCGGCTCGTGCGCGAAGCCTTGGCTAAAGCTTAGACGCCATTCTGCCGCACAAGTGACGCACTAAGTGCGCCAGCGCGTCACGGGCTGGCCCATTCAGTGCAACGAAGGATGTCTTCCCACACCGTCCCACACACGGCTTCTCCCACACCAAGCGAATAATAAACATAGTTTTTTTTCTCTTTTCTTTTACCGAACACAAGTTTAAAAAACAAAACCAACGTGAAAGCCACACAATTACGGTTTATGTAAGTGAGTTATGCGGCCAGGCGGACATTACGTTCAAGTCACAATGAAGCTAAAAGATGACTCATGTACAAAAATTCACTACTTACTCTTTTTTTTTTCAGATAGACATTTTAGGGCAGACTGATTGCCACCATTTTAAGAAATGGAGGCAATCAATGTTGAAGGCCAGCCCGGTTGGAGTTATTCATTGTCAAATGTTGTTCTGGAAATTTGTCGATACCGAAACCAAAAGCGCGATGCCCGCCCTAAGGACAAGCTTCGTTTGACGCCGGGGGGTCACGTGTTAATGACGGAGTTCTGCGTCACTATTTTTCGTCACTGGACGCCGGAGAGGATGGCAGTCGGTGCTCCGTGGGTGGCGAACTAAAGCGAGAAGCCGCCTTAGCGGCCGCGACAAATTGCTTTGCTTTGCTGCGCAATATCACTGAAGAAGGGTTTTTGTTTCTTCTTTCACTAATTTGAAAACGTTGAAGAGTATCTATTCGAGACTCGAGCGAATAATCCTAAAGTGACGCATTTATTTGCCCGTGAAAGTGAGTCTACAGACGCATCGGTATTGCTTGTAGGAATAGATAGCTCCATGGTTTATTCGCACGGAAGGCATACCAATCCAGATGCGATTCGGACCTTTCGTAATCATGGCGGAGTCGTAAATTGTGCTGCTCGGGAGAAAGGCGGCTCTTTGGCTCCGAGCTACTTTTTGCCCTAACGTCCTCGATGCACGGGCTCGACTGCAAGTTCAGCTGTCCTGTCTTCAGTGCGCAGAACGGTTCTGCAATCGCTTCTCCCCGGTAGGCTTCAGGCGCTCAGTCACACACAAAAAAGGTACACATGGCCCCGGCATTCGCTGAGACGAACGGCGATTCCCGACTTGCCACACGACTGTACGCCGCTCGTTTCCAGAATCGTCGGCTTTTTGAACATGCCCAGTTTGTGAGCGTCTTCGAAAAGTTTCTGAAGACAGGCTCTGTACATCCCAGAAGGCGCAGAAAGACCGTCGTCCTAAGTGAAAATGATTAAATTTACATCCTTGCCTACGTGAAAGTCCACACACACGCCAGCACCCGAGAGATTGCACTGTGAGTGCGGCGGCATCGCCACTTCCGTCTGGAATATGCCACGGAAACATAACGTGCATTCGTGCATGTGTGTCGATACACCAGAAACTCACTGAAGCGAACTTCGAAGAACGGCTTCAGTTCTGCAACTGGGCTATGATTGAAGGGAATGAGGAGAAGGACTTCTTCAAGAAAGAAATTCGGACCGATGAAGCAAAAATTTGCCGCGGCGGCACTGTGGACCTTTATAATTACTGGTTACACCAGAATCCTCATTGGCTAAGAAAACACAGCCATCAGGTTCGCTAATTTGTCGACGTCTGGTGCAGCATCCTCGGATACAATATTGTGGGACCTCGCCGATGACCTGGCCTGCGACATGTCACTGTGCGACAGTCCTGGCTTCAGAACGACGGAGCACGTGCACCGCATTTTTCGTCTGGGGATAGAAGTTGGCTTGGCAGCAACTTTTCATATCGGTTAGTCCGACGAGGAGGACCAATGCCTCTCGGATCGTCCGATTTGACAGCACTTGACTTTTTTCTGTGGGGTTGCATAAAAACTCAAATCTACGTGACCGAACTTATGGACTTGAAGAAAAGAATCGTCGATGCTTGTGCAAGCATCAGACCCGAAATA